CACGTACAGTCCACAGACAGTCCACGTACAGTCTACAGACAGTCCACAGACAGTCCACGTACAGTCCACGTACAGTCTACAGACAGCCCACGTACAGTCTACAGACAGTCCACGGACAGCCCACGTACAGTCTACAGACAGCCCACGGACAGGACACAGACAGCCCACAGACAGGACAACAGCTTTAGTTTATTGCAGGAATGGGACTGTGCCTACCAGCAGCAGTGGAGTGTTGATGTCAATGTGTTCAAACACAATAAACTCCTTCTTGACTTTGACGGGCAGCAGCCAGGGCCGGTGCAGCTCAGCCTTCACCCAGTACCTCACACTACCGTGCTTCCCTTCAAAGGAAGTTGCCAGAGCCCTGCAGGAGAAGGGGGAGGGGGCCATTAGAGGGGTGGGTAGTCACACCACTCAGTCCAAGAACCAGAACAGAAACTGATAAGCCTTGATTTGTAAGTAAAAGCTGACCTGCTGTAGTTGCACAACTACCGCCTGCTGTGGAGGTTTTAAGATCAGCAAAAGTACCAGTACTGGGTATTGGTCTGATACAGTGTACTTAAACTCATGAGAGTGTTCCAGTACCACAGTACTAATCCCACTTTACACCGGTGTGACGTTCACCTTTCAGTGGAGTGCTCAGACTGAGTTCTGCTCAGCAAAGTTGTCAATAGGAGCAACAAAACCCACGAGCACTTTGATGAAACGTCTGAAAACCAACGCTGAGTTTAGCTCACAGGAGCAGGAAGCAGCTGATATCTGCCACAAGCACAAGAGGATCCTGGGAACACTAGTTACGTTTACATGGACATAAAGTAATCGGATCAAATGGCCATTCGGAATAAAAACTCATCTTGTAAACGCCCCATTTGGGTTATTTTTTTGTTTATTCAGTGTGATCCAAAAGAATTTGTGATCAGAAAGAAACGGGTGGTTTACGCCAATTCATAACCCGAACGGTGCACACACGCTTGATCTGTTCTCTTTGTTCTAACCGTGAAAAACGGACCTGACTGTGCATGTGCGACTTTGCCAATAATATTAACATGTCGGAGAAGCAAAACTGGTCGGTGAGCGACAACATTTCTACTAGAAACTTTGAAAGAGCTCAAAATGATCTGTATCACCTGCAGCTCAGTCAGAGAGCGCAGCAACGTCTCCACCGTCATTAAAACCTGTCGCGGGTTCATTTTGGTCGCTCAGGTTTGTTTATGTTCATCCCGGAAGTAGAACTTCTTCTTAGTCTTTTTTAAGGAGAGTTTACCGCTCTGCGCACGTCAGTACTTCTATTCTGAATAAAGCTCGCTGCATGTTCGTGCTCGTCGTGAACAGATTGTGCCCAGGTAAACGATAATCTGAAAACATTTCAATCCGGTCAAAGAATTTTGTGCATATAAACATAGCTATTCAGATCTGAGCACCACGTTCAGAAAAGACCAGTGAAGTTCTGCTCTATCTGACCAGTAACATTAATGGTAACAGGACGTTTACTAGTAATTTTATCAGCAAGTACTGAAATACAAGTACTGCACTGGTGCAAGTTTGTTTTTTATTATTTCCTACAGTCAGTGAGGTTCAGAGCCGGCAGCGATCACTGTGAGGAAATCTTTCTTCCATCAACTAAAGAGAGCTCCACACGCCTGAAAACAAAACGCCCTAATGTGCATATACTGTTGTTCTTCAAACAACACTCTCATGTCATGCAGCTGTGTGTTGCTGATGAATCCCTTTAAACAGCATCGACATAGAAACAAACAGTTTCAGGGAATGGAGGTGATCTGTGCTCACATCTGGGGCAGGGTGAAGCTGAAGGCGAACTCATGAAGGCCGGTGTGGAGAACAGTCACACCTTCATCTGGACCGTCTTCATCTGAAAGACACAACATCTGTCCAAATACAGGAGCGTACGTACACACACTGGTACACAACAGTTGTCTGGTTTTCTTAGTGTGTGTATCTTTCTATATGATGGTGAAATTAGTTCTCTGCATTTAACCCATCACACCTGAGATACGGCCAGGTGGAGCAGTGGGCAGCTCTGTAAGTGCCCAGGGAGCAATTGGGGATTGGGCATGGCGGGGAGTTGAACCTGTGACTTTCTGGTCCCAAGTTGACGGCCCTACCTCTACACCATCTCTTATCTGGTGTTTTTAACTTCTTGTTGTGTTTGGCATGGTTTAAATTTTAGTTTCTCGTTTGTCCATTTTTTATGTCCGTATTTCAGAATAAAACCCGTCTGTGTTTCATACAGAACCCAAGCGGAGCAGATGTTGGCATTTCTTTATAAACTGTAGTCAAACTGCGTCCATCCTGCTGCCAACAGTCATGTTTGTAGAGACGTCTCCAGCAACAGCTTCCTACACCTCGTCTGCTGCACACGCAGCAGCAGACCGGTATGAACCAGCCTAAGCAGCTTCCTCCACAGAAACTCCAAAGAGTGCGTCACAACTCTGCCTGCCATTGGACCAGCACAGGCCAGTAGAGACAGGCCACGCGCCGATTGGCTCGCAACAGATAGGCCCCGCCCACACATGTGACGTATGAACGGAAAGGTGTTCTGAGAGGATGAACTTGAGGAGCTCTCATCACATTTCACCACCTAACGGAAGAGCTGATGCGAGTTGTTATGAGCAGAACAGAACACCGGAGGAAGAAATGTTCACTTGACTACATTTAATAAAACACAACAAGCTGCTGTCAGCGGGTCACCCCTCATCCGCTCTGTGGAGTCCTGCGCCAACAGTCCAGGACTGGAAGTAATCTGTAATCTACTCATCTGGTTAGATTAAGGGAAGAAACATTCAATTTGCCACAGACCGTCCTCCTGTATGTTACATTAAAAGATTTTAAATTTTATCACTATTGTTTCACTAAGAAAAAACTATTAAAGTACCAGCATAAAGAGTCCGAGCTCATGTTCCTGTTTAATAAACAGAATATTTTGATTAAAGGACTGACTGTGAACAATCATCACTTTTACAGAAAAATGACCATTATCTTAATTATTCTGAACTTGTGAGTCGGTGTAAGTTCTCCGTCATCCTAAGAGTTTTACAAACAAAAACACTTTGTCTCTTCTCGCCTGAGGAGCTTTGAAACATTTCCTTTTCACGATATTATCGGCAGGGTATCGGACGATATTAGCAACAAAGTTCAATATGGGACATTCCATTAAAATAACTCACGATATAAAAGGCGCAGTTTTTGCCTGCAGCGCAACGTGATGACGTCACGTGCACCAACCTGATCTCACGGCGGAGAGGAAAATTCAAAATGTCGGCGGTGTGGAAGTTTTTTTTTTTTTGTTGTTGGTGAGGATGTCGGATTCTGAAGATTTAAGGAAAATGTTGAGCCTCACTACATCGTCCCATCTGAAATATTTGTCTGACGTTACCCGAGTTACAAGCCGTCATTCTTATCATTGAGAAGCTAATAGCACGACATGTTGGGTGAGTTTTACCACAGTCATCAAGTGTCAGCCCCGTGAGCATGATTAGTCTTACTGCACAATGAAAAGACAAAAACTTTCAATTTAAAAAGTCTGTCCTTCACGCACAGGAGTGCAGAGGATCCACTCTGCAGCTATAGGAACCTGGAACAAACCTCCACATGTGAGACGGCATCACAGGTGATTAACGCTAATAAATAACATTTAACTCTTTTCAGGAGCGGCTGAGTGGTTAGAGCAGTCCTCCAATGTGAGAGTTGGGGGTTCGAATCCACCAGCAGTCACATGCTGAAGTGTCAATGGGCAAGACACTGAACCCCTCATAGCCTCTGATGTGTCCCATCAGTACAGTCCATTTACCATTTCATGTCAAAGTGCTCTATATGGCTGTTACTGAATATATGTCACCAGCTGTTGCACAGTTTTTGTAGCAAATAAGAGGAAACAAAGTCCAGTTGTCTGACCCTCTTTTGAAAGTACTCAGTATGTACTAATGTATATACTGTAGTATATGTACTACAATTTGCTCAGTTGTTTTCTGACAGATGAAATACAGATTAATGAAAAGTTTCTAGGTTTCCACATGAGCCCAAAATAATCAGTCCACGTTGACCCCTGACCTTTAGTCCTCGGACAAAGTAGGTGGAAGTCCTGGGAGACCCCCAGTCTAAAACCACCAGAACACCGTCCTGGTCCAGCAGGACCTCCACCCATCACCAGAGGGTTGCAGGTTCAGATCCGATCACATCCAGAAGCTTCTGTTGTCCCATAAACTCGTTTCAAACAACACGGAGGCATGTGAAGCACGCGCACACACACACGCGCGCGCGCACTGCCTGTGAACAGGTTTGAACCGCCTCTGAACAAAGAGCCGCCTGATCGTCTTCAATAAAAACAAGTTTGTGCTCAAACACCTGACGAGGACTTTATGTTGTTTATTTTAATGGTCAACTTTTTATGTTCAACCTGAGGAGCACAGACGGCTCCATCCGGGACTTTCATCTCGTCTTCATCGTTTCAAACTAACAGAAGCAGCCCGGACCGGTTCTCACCTGCCGGTCCTCCGACCAGCGTGTCTCGGTGGTGCAGGTAGTCCACCTCCTCCGTGTAGTTCTGGGTGTACGCGGTGTTGGCGCCGGCGTTCCTAGACTCGGTCCACCGAACTTTAGCGAGCCCTCGCGCGGTCACATCCAGCCTGTTGACGCGCACATCCCCGCTGACCTCCACCACCACCCGCCCTGACACCAGGTCTGCCCCCGAGAACACGGACAAGTTGTCCTCATTCACGCTGTCGAAGTGGACCGCCAAGGCCCGGACCTTGCCCCGGACCATGACGGTGAGTCGGACACAAGTTCAGAAGAGCGGGGAGCCGCCCAGCAGCTGTCAGTGACGGCTCATCTCCACCGACTGGACCCAGCAGCCTCTGAACCACAGCATGTCTCTAGAGCAGTCTGCGCATGCGCCCCATCACTAGATCCCTCATTGGCTGCTGCGGCGCAGGATTTTCGGCCGCCATCTTGGAACGGTCGTCCTTATTTGGTTAAAGCAGATGTTTCAGCACTTCGCAGCTCATTTCTGTTCTAATCGACGGACTGTTGACGTCAGGTCTGGGGGGATAACTTTTCACAAGCAAGATGAACATATTATTGTTAGTATTTTGTGAATATAATATTACTGTACTGTATTTATGTCCACCAGCTGATGTGATGTTCAGTGAAGCTAACTGAGATCTGATGACAGGAATATTTTTCTAACAAGCATACTCACTATTTCAGCAGCATTGGTTCATTATCAACAGATATGCATCAGAACTGGAGTTTTGTTTAAGTTCTAGGATATAAAAAAATAAAACTAGGGAGAATATAGGAAATAGAAAATAAGCTTGACCTCCTTTGTACAATGTTTTTGTGTAGACACAAATCTCCTGTTTTCATTTTGAAGGTTTCCCAAAGAACAAGATGTGAGGAAGAGGAGGAAGTATCTTTGAGGAGGATTCATCTGAGCAGTGAGGATTTTAAACTGGAGGATTTTGATCAAACTGTCCCACTGAGAGATGGTGTGGTACCATCGGTTCACCTTCAAAGAGTAGAAGCATCATAAGTTCATTAGAGTTCATAAATTTACATATTTTGTTGTTAGTCACAAGGTGAGACACCTCCATGTGTTTATATGAACAGGTAACTATAGACTGTAAAGTTCATATTCATTATGCTTTTTCATTTCAGCTTGAAAACTGCAGGACTACAGGAACGCAACAAAAGCTGAAGCTGCTCTGTCTGTGGCCTCTCAGGAACGTGCACGTCACACACACAACCTCAGGAACGTGCACGTTTCACACACAACCTCGGGACGTGCACGTCTCACTCAGAGTGGGGCCAATGGGGGTGGAGGCAGGTGTGGGTGTTTCACCTTTTCCACCCACATTTTGATGTTGACGGTACCGGGAGTTGAACCTGTGACTTTCCCATCACAGGCCCATCTTCTAACCTCTGCTCCACCACTCCCCCCATAACATCATATCATAATGGTCATATTAAAATCTCATTGGTTTCCTTCCAGATGTGTTAAACAGCTACTGGTCCTCCTGATGTTATATATATATATATATATATATATATATATATATATATATATATATCAAACTTTGCCCAGAGTTGAAGCTAATTTTCTCCTCGGAAGTCTTCCGAATGTTGTGTCTTAGAGCTTCTATATCCTCCTCGGGAGGGCTTCATCACTTCTTAATCATCATTTAGGTTAGCGGTAGTGTTCGCTCCGCTCCTGTTTACTGGAGGCCTCCAATCGCGTGGTCTTTTGGACTGTGCTCCGAAGTTTGCTTATTTCGTAGCCAGCTGAGTTCCTGGCCTTGTTTTCATTGGTGAAGGTGAGCATTCTCACCCCCTCTCCCAATTGTCCTCTCTTACCAGCTGAGCTAGCGGTGCTAGCCTCTCTGAGTTTTGGCCTTGTTTTGACTGGTGAAGGCGAGCGTTCGCGCCCCCTCTCCCAATTGTCCTCTTTTACCAGCTGAGCTAGCAGTGCTAGCCTTTCTGAATATCTTGGACATAGCTGGGTAAGGAGCATGGATGGCTCTCACTGCTGTACAGTCTGTGGAGCCATGCTCCAGACAGATGACGGTCACGACCTGTGTCCTGCCTGCCTTGGACATGACCATCTGGTGGATGCCCTGTCAGAGAACCCCTGCATGAATTGCAGCTTCATGTCGCATGCTGTGAGGGTGGCCCGGCTGGCCCAGTTTCGCCCCAAGCTCGGTGATGACCTCCCGCCTTCTGGGCAGGAGGTTCCACCTAGGCGCTCGAAGCGCCGGACTGAGGCCGCAGTCTCTGTGGCCCCTCCTGGGAAGAAGCGAGCCAAGTCTTATAGGGGCCTCTCCACAAGGGTGGAGCAGCTCTCCGCTGAATTAGCGGAGATGAAGTCCCTTTTTCAGGTACGCCAACTGGGAACTGAACCAGTGGCAGCAGGGGTTGTTGGGAAATGAGTATGGGGTGGGGTTTTTAGTTGCTCTGTCTGTGCGATGCACCTGTTGTGATGCTGAGGAGCTCTGGCGTGAGTTACGGCCGAACAGTGGCTCGGAGTGAGCTGACCTGTATTTATTGTTTCTGAATAAATCATTGGTAAGAGCAAAATGTCTGGTGCTTGAGTGACCACGTCAACATTACAGTACATGTTTTTTTAAACTAGATTTTAGATCAAAATGCTTGGTTTCCACTAAAAATTCCCATTTCATGCTTGTGTTGCAACGAAGTACTTTGAGACAGTTAAACCGATGTTTCTTTATTGAACAAGTTAAGACCTTGGCGACACTAAAATACTTTCAGAGACTGTGTTAATGTTAAGTACATATGTGCTTTTAGCTAGTATTTGTGGGATTTTTGCATCAAAATGCTTGCTTTCCAATAAAAATAATTGCTTAAATAATAAAAGATGCTAGAAGTGTCTGAAAACTATAATTATGGCACAGATTTCCCAAGATGGCAACACAGTCTGCATATCTAGTCAGTCCAAAACTCATTGAGTAGACTAAGACATTCAGCAGCCATCGCCATCAGCAGATCCACGGTCAGTGTTCAGCAGACACACTTTGTAGTAACACTACATACACTACTCATTCTAGAATTGCGCCGCTCCAGGTGGCTGCATGGTGGAGCAGCTCTGTTACTTTCATTCTGAGATTTTGCTTTTGGAAACTTTAATTCTTGGTTTTCTGGATGTAAATCATATTTTTTGGATTATTGTTTCCTCTGGTACCAGATGCTGTGCAGCTGGAAGGATTTTTACTGAAACTTTTTAAGCTTTGGACATTTGTTATGATGCGTAACCATGGCAACAAGGCTGTTTTCTACAACAACAGCAGTTGATTAACATCTCAAAAGCTCAAATAATATCTCAACTATGGCCCCAACTCTCAAATGAGTTGAAAAGGATGTTCTGTGGACGCGTTCTCATCTACCTGCCAGCTGTGCTCGAGTGCCTGATCACTGAGATCCTGGAACTAGCAGGAAACATGGCTCACGATAGCGGAAGGACAGGATCGTCCCTCGGCACCTACAATTGGCTGTCCGCACCTATGAGGAGCTCGGCAGACTGCTGGGAGGAGTGGCCATCGCTCTGGGAGGAGTTCAGCCCAGCATTCAGGCGGTCCTACAGTCCAGGAGAACTGAGAGGTCAGCCGAGTCTGGGTGGACGGATCGGACGGCATCTGCAGCCAGTTTCTTAGGATCCACTGTGGGATGGACCTTTACAAGAGATCCTTCCTGCCTACAGCCATCAGCATCTATAACATCTCTTAATGAAATGAGGATAACGAGTTACAACAACAAAATAATTTCCTTTGGGATTAATAAAGTATTTTTGAATTGAATTGAATTGAATTAACAGATTGTGGTTGGGAAAACAGCAACAAACCAAACAAACTGTTTTATGCAAAAGTGTAGATATTTAATTTTAGCCATGGTATTTATACAGTGCTTTGTCATGTTTGAGAAATAAATAATTTCTAAGTTTGTAAACTGATGACACACAGGCCCTCACTTGGCTAGCCTAGCATTGTCTGGATGGAGACTTGCCTTTTTCTCTACACGCCGTGCTCGACGACATTTGTCACGGCTGATAAGGAACTTTTTAATATTTTACAGAACATGGCTTCACAAGTCACCAAACTATTCATTTAAAGAGACTGGTTGTCTTTTCAACAAAACAATATTCCATTCACTGATGCTTATGACTGTTTGCTGTGTAAAAATGCAATATTCAAAATATCTTTATGAATAGAAATCTTTGTTACACAATACACACTAGCATAATATCCTCCCATGTTGACTAAAAGCAGCCATGAAAAATTTAGAGTTGAAGACGTGGTTCAAAGTCACAATTTTTATTCTTCCCCCTTTTTTTTTTTTAGGTATTTTAGAAATCTTTAGCAACATTTTTCATCCAGAACAAACATACCTCTGCAAAATACATAAAAAAGCAAAGCAATGTAAGCAAAGTGTGTATAGGAATGACTAGGTAGATTAAAGTGGATTGCAACAAAAGCACATCAGAACATTAAGACGCGACAGGATTAAGGCATTTCTTAAACACTTCATAACATCACTACAGAACTGTAAGTACAAGGAGCATAATGTGAACATCTTTATTATCTTTGTCAATGAGCTCTAATTAAGGCTGCACAATATATAAAGTGGATTTACCAGTGTGTGCAACAGCAGTATTGCAAAGAATTTCTATACATCTGAAAATAAATGCAATCAAAAAAAGTATAGTTTGTAGTCATGGAGCTGTTCTCCCCTTGTGGAGAGGGTTGTGAGCATCGTAATGACAGAACGAGTGGGCTTCGAGCATTTCATATCATTATGGTGAGATTTAAATAAAGACTCGGTCGGGGGCACCATGACAAGAGACGAGATGACTTTTGTTGGGAACTGACGCTGTACAAAGAAACTGAACTGAATATAACTTTTGTACTCCTTGCGATATAAATACTGCATATACTGGTAGGGAAGTTACAGTAAATGTTTAATATATTGTGTAGCCCTAGATGAAACTGCTAGGCCAACATGAGCTCACGTCTGACCAGCCTGATGCAGTTAGTCTGTCAAAACACAAATCGTTTAACGCCCACGCTCTGTCAGGATCAGAACCATGAAGCAACAGACATATTTGTTCTTTCAAAACCCACGGCTCCCACGGCTTGTCTTGTAATTTTCTTTAACAAAAACGTGTTTCTTTGAAGATGAGCAAGAAACAAGGCACCGGTCAGGAGCTCTCTCTGTCATGTGCCACAGAGCTACAGTTCCTCAGGTGTTCCCAGTCAGCATGGGAACTGGTAAAATGCCAGAACATGATCTCACTGCAGCATTTTATATGTTGACCTCTGATTAACTCCATCACCATCCTGTTGGCTTTAGTGGTTTCTGTTTCACTCCTACGTGACCTGAGAGATGCTGGTAAGCAAAAGTCTTTAGTTTCTGCTTCTGAAAGAACAAACACAAAAGGTGACTTTGATCAGTCTTGATTACATTCACAACTAGACTGGATAAGTTTGATCAGATGGTTTGTTGTGCAGGGCTTCTTTAATACCACCAGAGGGCACACGCACCAAACTAAACCAACAACACCAAAGCTTCTGTATAAACTGTTGAGCCAGAAGAGCTGTGTTTGGCTTTTGCTTGTGAGAGCTACAGCTGGTTAGCAGAAGGAGCAGACAGACAACCAGCTTCTGTGAAGTCCAGCTTTGTCCACCATCAGTGCTGCTCCACATGGAATCACCCCATACATTTAGTTTGGGTACATTTAGCAGTGCAGTGGTTAGAGCCGTCATCTCGCAGATAAAAAGTTGCAGGTTCTAATCTGGCTGCAGTTTTAATGTGTGACCATTCCTTGTGCTCCTCGTGCACGTGTGGGCTTTCTACCACCGGCCAGAAACATACATGTTGATGGAGCATCTCGTCTGTTGCAGACTTGTTAGCAACTCCAACTTGACTCAACGTTGTTAACAACAAAAAGAAAGTTTTCTGTCGCAGCATCGTTGAATTCTGAACGTTTGCAACCAGTGACTCTGCCTTTTGTGCAGCCAGTTGCTGAAAACCAGGACTTATTTGGGCAGCTGTCTCCACATTTATGGTTTCATACTGGACTATATCCTTGAAGTGGAGACAGGCTGATTTATGGCCATTTAAAAAAAATAATATTTATCAGCAGTGTGGGTTTTAGACCTGAACATGTTTACAGTCAGAAGACAGTTCCCAGCTCTTCAGACAGGTTCCAGATGTGTGCAACAACTGTGCAACAACAATTAGTTGATCAGTTGTTTATTTTTGCACATGTATGCTACCTTTATGTTAATTAGTATTTCTCAAGGTGTCTATGTTTGTCTCGTTGGTCTCTATGTGTCCCTGTGATGGACTGGAGACCTGTCCAGGGACTACCTTCCTTGCACCCAATGACTCTGGAGATAAGTGCCATCTCTCCGTGACCCTGCACGGAAGAGCAGGTAAAAAACAATAGACGGACGGATGCATAAATTTATGGCTACACCTGACTTGCTTCTTCTTTTGTCTGTCTACAGTTAGTGTCGCAAAGCTAACAAACATTTAATGGCTAAACAGCTTCCGTTCAGTGCAACCCTGACAGTTCAGATCATCCTCAGCTGCTTCAGTGTAAAAAGACTGCCTCATAAGAAACTACAATACGTTATGGGGTGACATACCCATTTGTTATAAGCTACATAAACTTACAACACTGCAATCTCCACAAAACACTGCCTTTTGGCAGGACAGGTAGAAAATCTACACCCTGGGTGTCTTCGCAGGTCGCCTGTTTCCAAAAATATCCTTCTTGCTAGGAGCGATTCTCGCTTCGGGTGTGAAATGTCCCGGGGTCAGATCCCAGATGAGCCCACAATTTGAGGTGGCCTGGCTTCAAGACCATAAGAAAGATGGGATATAAAAATAAATTTTAAACAAGTTTCATGTTCAACTAAAGCAAAGTGAACCTAGAGTACCTCTCTGAAAGACGTGGGCTCCAGACTCTGACCAGTGTCTCCAGTTCTCAGTTAGCTCCACTCACCTGAAACGCACAAACCCTAGATATGGGCCTGGCGTCGTAGCACACAACCATTATGGGCAGGAGTTGCTTAGAATTTGGTCCCTGACACATTTTTGTGTCGTACGGCTGTTTAGAAAGAATAATTCAAGCTGAGCACCTTCTCAGGTTTGTCATTAGGACAGGAAGTTTGAAGATGTGCACTCACATTAACCGTAAAGCTCAGTCACTCCAGGTACTTGGAATCAAGCGTGCCTGGCTGTTGTTGCTCCTCTGTTTCAACATTTCTTCTGCAACAGTTTGTTTAAAGACAAAGAAAGATGAAAAGCAAACAGTAAAATGGAAGTCAAAATGTCTTGATGACCTTAAAGTGCAGGTTTCTGGCACACTACACTGTTCGGTAACGATTGCCACGTGGGCCTTCAGTGCCACCCAGTTTCAGACATATTTATTGGGACCAAAAAGAGGCCCCTGACAGTTGATGTGGCCTTCATTCTCTGGCAGAACACAACATCTAGTTAAAAGTCAACAAGGAAATTGGCTGAGATTTGGTCGGTTATGTATTTTTTCCCAGATGTCTGATTTTTCCAGATGTTGTCCAAATACAACTGAGAGGGCACATAACTGTGAGGAATCACAGCTGAAGTATGAAGTGTTCAACGCCGGGCCGATGCAGTGTCCAACCCTGATCTGAACGCTGGAGGAGAGGAGGAGAAGGTCAAGACGAAGGAGGAAGACGCAGGCTTTTACACTTCGTGTCATCCAAGTTCCTCCAGTACTTGTAGTTCTCCGACAGGTGCTCGATCAGATTAGGGAGGCTGGCAAAGGCTGCAAAGACAGAACAGCTGTCAGCAGGGAAAATATAACTAAAACACGTGGACACACACAAGCATTTTTTTTTTCAGGTTACCTTGTAGGGACCATCTAAAAAAGTTAAATCTGGTCCTCTGGACATTAAAAAAAAACAAAAAAACAAATCAACAAAAAAAATGTAGAAACGTTTCGTCTTTCATCCGAGAGACTTCCTCAGTCTGAGGAGCTGTATTCAGCTCAGTCTCTTAAATAGCACCTTCTCAGAGTGGATCAACCAGTTTTGCTGCTGACAACCAAAACCAGCTGCTCACATGCTCAAGAAGACTGAGCTGAATACAGCTCCTCAGACTGAGAAAGTCTCTCGGATGAGAGACGAAACGTTTCTACATTTTTTTGTTGATTTGCTTTGTTTTGTTTTTTTTGAATGTCCAGAGGACCAGATTTAACTTTTTTAGATTTTTCTACCTGGATTATTGAGCATGCATCAGGATACTTGTAGGGACCAATTTTACTAAAAATCATGCATTGTGGAGACCAACTGCTCTTTGTGGAGACCAAATCCAGGTCCCCATAAGGAAAAGTCTCGTTGGGGCATTAGGGGTTTAAGACTAAAGTGTGAATTGCGAATGGATTAGGGTTAGACATGTACTTGTAATGGTTGGGTTTAGGGTCAGGGTTAGGCTATAGAAAATGAATGGAAGTTAATGCATAGTCCCCAAAAAGTACCTTTACAAGAACACACACACGTATCTGTCATGGCTTTGGGAGATAAATGGAAATGGTAAATGGGCTGTACTTATACAGCACCTTTCTATCTTATTTCAAGATACTCAAAGCTCTTCACACTAAACTCTGTGCCTCACTGACCCATTCATACATCTCTATACTAGATCTCTACAAAGCTAATTGAACAAATAATTCTAAAGAAACTAATCAGTGATTTATCACATTCAAACACTGATGGGACACACATCAGAGGCTATGAGGGTTCAGGGTCTTGCCCAGGGACACTTCGGCATGTGACCGCTGATGGATTTGAACCCCCAAATCTCGCATTGGAGGACGACTGCTCTAACCACTCAGCCACAGCCCCCCCCGAATATATATAGATATGAATATATCCATCCATCCATCCATTTTCTTTACCCGCTTATTCCATTTTGGGTCACGGGGGATATGAATATATAAAAATGTATTTTCTGAATTTTTCTGTTTTTAAGAAATAAGAACATTGAAAGCCATTTGTCAAACAGGGTTGATTCTTTTAAATTAGGATGTCACTACATGGCTCTTCTGAGCAATTTACACGTTTGGCCACCACTGCAACTGTTGGCTAAATGAACCAACTTTTCCTCTGTACCAGACTAGTTGACATTATTATTATTATTTACTTATTTACCTTCACCTCCTTTCTTTCTGGTTTATAGTTGGTATATTTCAGTTTTGTTCCTCTGGAGGTTCCTTCTCTCCCTCTTTTGTTTTTTGGTTCTCTATGTTGGCAATGTTTTTGTTTTTTGAGAGTGGAGGCTGCTTGTTTGTTTGTTGGTTTTTCTTCTTTTTGTCTTCATAATTTTGTTGTGTTCAAAAAAAAAAGAAGGAAAATTAAAATAAAAGTTTGAAAGTTGATTCTTTTAATCTGAGCCAAATCCAACATAACTCTAAAATAAAGTTTCTTTTCTGCTGACCTGGGAACACATCAGCTAATGACTGTCTCTCAACGTTCTTGGCCTCTGGTGTAACTGGAGGGTATCTGAAAAGCAACTTAACAATAAATCTTTCTTCCAGTTGCATTCTCTTTATTTTCCACATGCCTGGTAAAACGCATGTGACAAACCACGGCTCAGATACGATCAGTCAGCACAAGACACAGCTGATGAATGCCAACCATATTGTTTTCAGCTGTGTTTGTAGTGTTAGCAAAACTTCTCATGAAGGTTTGAAAAATATTTAATGAAACTCTGAAAGTGATGTATATTTACAGCTGATACAACATTAAAGGCCTCTACAAAGAGTCACTGTGCAACAGCTGGATTCAAAGTGCAGCATTACATGTCAGAGTCAAGCTTTGGTATAAAACTTCACTGATTTTAGTCCAAGTTCTCCTGCATGCTGGTCTGCAGCCTTCAGCCTGGCGTTTGTGTGAGGATGTGTGTTATTAGTCCATGCACAGCAGCTAATGTGTACTCTATGATGTCGCTCCCACATTAAAGGACTGACGCGGTTGAAAAGTCTTCCTGTCAGTATCTCACACAAAGCTTTGCTCTGCAGAGTGTGTGTGTGCATTCCCAGCACATGTCCCACTTGGCCCAAGATGTTTACATCTGCGTTTCCGGCCTGTTAATGACCCGAGCTGCATCCCTGACCCCCGGCATGAACTGACAGTGACCCGGGCCAATTTAAAGCCTGTTCATGTGTGTTTTGTGATTACGTGCAAGTGAAGTTCTACTCCCTGGTAAACTGTAAAACCCTGTTCCTTCCACTGTTTTCCCAACTTCCCATCCCCTGATGCTCTGGCCCACTGGTATTTGAAGTCTTTCCATGACATCAGAGCTGTGCTGACAGTAAACAAGTTCCCTCTCTGGAAGTCCATTCTGAGAGGAGAACTCTGGGAATGAGAAGCTTATATAAGCACCATTCCTGTCCTTTACAGTTCTGCAGGCAGGAAGGAAAATGAAGGCAAGGTCACAGAGAGAGCTTTAGATTCATTTAACTCATCTTTACACACACTCATTATGGGCACGATGGGCTTGAATCAGTGGCGGCTGGACAATAGAGGGCGCCAGGGCATCGCCCCACCACTCAACACATCACATTACCTTGAAAAAGACATAATAAATAAAAATAATAATGACTGGATTAGTTCTGATTGTGTTTGGGGCCATTGTCCTGTTGGACCACCCTGCTGTGCCCAAGTTTAAAATGTCTAGCTGTTTTTTTTCAATGGGGAGTTGTGCTCCAGTCTGGCAACATGACGCTACCTTCACCATGTCTAACAGTTCTTAGTGTTGTTAGGTCTGAAATCCTCGTCTTGACTCCTCCTTAAATTTTTTGTCATTGTGGCAAAATGACTCAATCTTTAACAAAGACCAAGACATTTTTCTATCAAAGGCGTTTCATCATGTTTTATAGTATCTTGCTCCAGTTTTTGGGTTTCTATATTCTTGTTTGGTATTCCTTGATTTTCTCACCATGAATCTTACTGCCTGTTTTATTTTGTTGAAGTCATTGTGTTTAGTTACTTCCAGTTTTCCTCGACACACCAGGCTGTGATCTGCCTGCCAGCTTATTTTGTCATTTCCTTCCACAGTGTATCTAGTTTTAGACTCCCTTCACTCTTTGGTGGATCCTTGGAACAGGTTCAAAATCATTCATCCATTTTTTTAAATAAATGCATGAATGTATCGCAGCACGATGGCTCAGTGGTTAGCACTGTTGCCTCACAGCAAGAAGGTCCTGGTTTCAATCCCCGGTTGGACCTGGGGTCTTTCTGTGTAGAGTTTGCATGTTCTTCTCGTGCATGTGTGGGTTTTCTCCGGGTACTCCGGTTTCTTCCCACATACCAAAAACATGCATGTTAGTCTGCCTTCAGGTCCAGGCCTCCCTTGCAAAAGAGATCTGTGATCTCAGTGGGATTTGCCTGATTAAATAAAGGTTAATACATAAATAAATAAATAAATAAATGCATACAATCGGTACAAGAGTTTGGTTTGCATTGCCGGTAGTAAGTTGGACCCCTTCAGGGTGGGAGTTGGACTCTGTTGTCACCGATTCTGTTCATAAGGACAGCCAGCATGTGGAGGGTTTCCAGTTCCGTGGCCTCAGGATTCCATCTCTGCTCTTTGCAGATGATGTGGTCCTGTTGGCGTCATTGTGCCGTGAACTTCAGTTCTCACTGGAGCAGTTCGCAATCGAGTGTGAAGCGGCTGGGATGAGAATCAGCACCTCCAAATCTGAGGCCATGGTCCTCAGTCAGAAAAGGGTGGATTGCTCTCTTCGGGTCCAGGGTGAGGTTCTGCCTCAAGTGGAGGAGTTCAAGTATCTCAGGGTTTTGTTCATGAGTGAGGAAAGAATGAAGCATGAGACTGACAGATGGATTGGTGCAGCATCTGCAGTATTGTGGATTCTGTACTGGTCCATGTTGGTGAAGAGAGAGCTGAGCTGTAAGGCAAAGCTCTGTTTACCGGTTGGTCTACGTTCCTACTCTCACCTATGGTCATGAGCTCTGGGTAGTGACCGAAAGAATGAGATTGTGGATAAAAGCGGTTGAAATGAGTTTCCTCCGCAGGGTAGCTGGACTCTCCCTTAGAGATAGGGTGAGAAGTTCAGTTATCCGGGAGAGACTCAGAGTAGAACCACTGCTCCTCTAAGTCGAGAGGAGCCAGTTGAGGTGGTTCAGGCATCTGGTAAGGATGCTCCCTGGACGCCTCCCTAGGGAGGTGCTTTGGGCATGTCCGACTGGGAGGAGACCACGGGGAAGACCCAGGACACACTGGAGAGACTAGTCTCTTGGTTGGCCTGGGAACGACTGGGGTCCTCCCAGAAGAACTGGAAGAGGTGGCTGTGGAAAGAGATGTCTGGACCTTCCTGCTCAAGCTGCTGCCCCCGAGACCCAGCTTCAGAACAAGTGTAAGATAATGGATGGACGTATCAGTGCATCATGTTGCAGTGCAGTTTAATGTATTTTATAGTTAGCTGCAGCTCTTTGGTTTAACTTCAAGTTTTTCTGTGGAAATAAAGTGAATTGAGATAATACAATCCCAGGTCACAGTCAGTGTTTTAACCCTGACAACATTCAGTGTTGACAGTTTAAGTTAAGGTTTAGGTGCAAGAAATAGCCGGAGAAATGAAGGTTCACTGACGGAGCATCAATATCAGTCATGCAGAGGTTTTCTGAAGTAAATGATGGTCAAAGAACCACTGATGAGAACTTGCTCTGACTCTGGCCGTTGTGTAAGAACTTCAGCAGGACTTTGAAACTGATTTACAGGCTGTGATGGACATGAACCATGTGATGCTTCTTCAGAGCACCAGCCACTTTCCAAAAGTACTCAGTGTACTCAACTTTTGAATTCTGTTACATTTAGAGCTCATTATATCTGAGCGAACAGGAAGAAAATACATTTTCTAGTTATTTATGTGTATATCTGAACCTTTGAAAACTCTTCTGACATGCACTATTACAGGGTCTTTTGAGGAAGAATAGTCATTTCAGTGAACACACTTTGTAGACAATATTTTCTGCACAAGTACTATTCATTTTCAACTATGCTTTGTTGTTTAAACTAATTCAAAGTAACACAGAAATGGCAGAATGACCTAATTTTATAAATATATAAAACAACTCGTAACAATCTTGCATTCAGAGAAGGTGATGGATTGATTTCAGTTTATGAGCCTCACCATGCCTGACTTTCATCTTGGTTTCTTTTAGAAAGCTAACAGGTGATGAAAGCAAACACACTTCATCCAGAGATGCCTAGAGTTGGACTGGACATGCGGTCTTACCATCCCAGGCATCGAACATGTCTGTGATGAAGTAGTCGATGAAGGAAATCTGAGATTTGGGCACACTGCAGGTGTTCCTGTCGAACACAGGCATCACCACGGGCAGCCCCTGATGCTTCTCCTCGTCTGTCTGCACAGACACAAACACAAATTCTTTCTTGTGTCCTTTTGCAGATGAAAAGCCACAAAATTAATAACCATACAAAGTGAAATAATGGACGATATACATAACCCAGTAGTTAAAAAAAAAAAAACTTGTTATATTGTAGATCCAGTTTCCCTCTGACCTGTGCAAAGTACTCCTCAGAGATGCGTCCTGCCCACTCGATGCAGAGCTGCAGCGGCCTGCAGGGGTTCGCCACATCTGCACACTTGATCAGCATTCTCTTTATCAGCAGACGGTTTTCCGGAGAGTTTCTCAAGTTGTTCTGACTCTCGTAGTCGCTGCTTGTGCTCTGTTAGAACAACAAAGCAGATTGTTATCTCTGGTCGGCTATTTTTACACTCATTTACTGAAACACGCTGTCAATATGGTGTCTGTAAATATTAGGTATTTTTTATATATTTTATTAAAAGAACAATTTTTACACAAATATTGTTAAAATTACACACAACCTAGTCATGGAAGTGTAACCTCTAGGCCCTGTTTACATTTGGTGAAACACACACCCTGGGTACTTAATAGTACCAAGTAGAACAAACACTACAGCTGAAACCTAAGAAAGTTAAGTCAGGTCCTATGGGATAAAAAAAAACAACATTAAAACTTCTTGAAACATTTCATCTTTTATCCAAAAGACTTCTTCAGTCTGAGGAGCTGCAACAAACTCAGTCTTATAAATAGCACCTTCTCGTAGTGGATCAACCAGTTTGTTGCTGACAACCAGAACTAGTTGTTCACATGGTCAAGAAGGACCATCAGCCTAACAATGGATCATTAGCACACTGATGGCTGTTTACTGTTCACAGAGGGCTGAGTGATACTAGCAATCACAGCATTGTAAGAGGGGGACAGTTGAACATGGAGGCCTCCACCCCTGTTTAATGATGGACGATTTCTTTTCACAAAGATGGCCTCCTTTACTCCTCTCTCAAACCATCGTTCCTCTCTGTCCAGGATGTGAACATCTTCATCCCTGAAAGAGTGACCGCTGGTCTGGAGATGAGTGTAGACCGCAGAGTCGTGGCCTGATGATGTTGATCTTCTGTGCTGGTCCATCCTTTTGGCCAGTGGCTGTTTTGTTTCCCCGATGTAAGACTGATCACAGCCCTCCTGACACTGAACAGCATACACAACATTGCTCTGTTTGTGCCGGGGGACTGGATCTTTGGGATGAACCAGTCTTTGCCGTAATGTATTTTGGGGTTTAAAAGCCACTGGGACATTATGTTTAGAAAATAAACATCTCAGTTTCTCTGAAACTCTCACAACATATGGAATGACCACTGGTTTGGGTCTGGGTTCCTCCTTTTCACCTGATGGCTGACTGGAGTCCTGTTTGAGCCATGCAGCCCTGGAACAACTGAACATGCATCAAATGTGGTTCAACTCGAGCTTTTTCACATGATACAAAAACATATTTACATGTACTATTTACCCATATATAGTTTGTTCCTCTAAAACATGGCTCCCAGAAACAAGATCCAACAACAAGCTGTCACATAAAGTCCGTTTCTCTTAACCCAGGTTCACGTTAGGTTTGTTTGTCATATACAAATCAACTCAAGGTCAACAATGCAATGAAATGCTGAGGACGAGAAGAACAGCTCGACTTGCAAAAAAACAACAACAACAAAAAAAAGAAATATAAAGCATGCAACAAAAATACAAAAAACAAGGCACCAAAAGTGAAAAATAATAAATCTACACTGTGGTTCAGTTAACAGTGAGTTTCTTTCAGCAGCATGGTTCTATTAGCAAGTCCCATTAGCAGCTTGATGATAATAAGGACCACAGCAGCTGCTCTCCTAGACATACCGCCTTGACAGGCCTGAGCCTGAGCTCAAGGCTTGAAGAGGGCCGGGAACAGAACCACAATGGCGTGATGGCAGGATGGCATGATGGCAGGATGGCAGGATGGCATGATGGCAGGATGGCAGGATGGCATGATGGCAGGATGGCAGGATGGCATGATGGCAAGATGACATGATGGCATGATGGCAAGATGACATGATGGCAGGATGGCATGATGGCAGGATGATATGATGGAAGGATGGCATGATGGCAGGACGGCATGATGGCAGGATGGCATAATGGCATGATGGCAGGATGGCAGGATGGCATGATGGCACGATGGCATGATGGCATAATGGCAGGATGGCATGATGGCATAATGGCAAGATGGCAAGGCGGCGACACAGAAAATTCCAAAAGTGCATCATGGTCATATGCATGCAGGGTAGGCACAAAAAAAGGTTAAAACAACAGGAACAAAAAAAGGTCCAGTTAAAGCAGAGCTCCTGTCAGTGCAGCCATACTGTGGCACACGTGACGTCACACAAAACTATGAAGACAATGAGAGTAGTTCATGCACACTGACACTTACACTTGTGCTGCTCTCTTCTATGGCAGTGGTCGGCTTGTTGATGCTGTTGACAAACTTGCTGACATGCTCAAAGTGCCGGGTCATCTCTGTGGCCAACACCATGTCGATGACGGCCTGTCGCAGCGTCCGGAACTGATTTCTGTCAGACGTGAAGTGAAGAAAACCAGGATCTCACTCAGTCTTGTATTAAGTTACCAACTGATCATAATGCACAATATTCCCAACAATGGCTGAACAACAAATAAAACAAACTTGGTTAACATTCTTTTCAAAGTCACACATAAGGCCAGTTTCACCACAAAATCACATTAGTTGGGATGTTCCACACCTAAATGTTACACCGCTGATGCAGTCCATGATACGATGGAAACAAATATTAGATTTTAAACAGTGTAGATAAGATAAGCAGCATTTGTCCCACTCTGGGCCCTTGAGAAAGGCCCTTAACCGCCACCATCTGCTCCTCCGGGTGTCCTAGATTGCAGCTCTCTGCTCCACACAGAGGGCTGTGGTAGTTCGATGGTCTGTGGTTGCATCAGGAAGGGCATCTGGCGTAAAAATAACTGCCAAGTCTTTGTGCGACTTAGTTCGCTGTGGCGACCCCTAACACAGGGAGCAGCCGAAAGAAAAAAACAAAACTAGAACCCAAGGAAAGTAAAGTCCTGTTTGGTTACAAGTTCAGTTTTTGAGCAAGTCACCCCAAATTGTTGGGGTGACTGGTTTGTTTGTTTGTTTCTATCTATCTGTCTGTCTGTCTGTCTGTCTGTCTACGTGTATCTATAATTGAGTGTTTAAAAGAAAGACATGAAGTTGTGGAAAACATAACTTTATCACTCCATTCCTTACATTTTACACAACATTTGGATTTTGTCAGCTGATAAAAGTCTAGTTTGTGCCCCGACCTGTCGATGTTCTTGAAGATGTTGCTCTTGCTGTCTCGGATGGTGAGTTGGAAGGCGAGGGCTGCATGGTGGCTTTCCAGCACAGCTGTATCGTTGTAAAGGATGGCCAGTTCACTTCCTGCATTACACAGGAATGAGTTGGTCCTGCCAGGGTGGTCCACATCATGGACCGTGGCTGCTATCAGCGCTGCCACCTCATCCAGTTGATCCAGGCAGCTCTGAAGAAAGCAGCAGATACAAAACAGAGACGTTAGTAGACAACACCTCAGATAGTAAAAGAGCACTGTTCAGTGTTCGGTTTACCCATACTCTATAATTAACCGTTACCCTCCCTGGGCTGTTACCTTACCGTGGTGGAGGGGTTTGAGTGTCCCAATGATCCTAGGAGCTATGCTGTCAAGGGCTTCATGCCCTTGGCAGGGTCACCCAAGTAAGACAGGTCCTAGGTGAGGGACCAGACAAAAGTGCAGCCCAAAGACCCCTTATGATGAGTCAAACAAATGGAAACAATGTTCCCTCACCCAGACGTGGGTCACCGGGGCCCCACTCTGGAGCCAGGCATGGAGGTGGGGCACGCTGGCGTGTGCCTGCCTGTGGCCAGGCTTGTACCCATGGAGCCCGGCCAGGCACAACCCAAAGAGGAGATGTGGGTCCTCCTTCCCATGGGCTCACCACCTGTGAGAGGGGCCAAAGGGGCCGGGTGCAAAGTGGGATGGGTGGTGGCTGAGGGCGGGGAGCTTGGCGGTCTGATGGAGCTTGGCGGTCTGATCTTCGGCTACAGAAGCTGGCTATTGGGACATGGAATGTCACCTCTCTGGTTGGACTCACCTCGATGCATGGCTATGGCTCTGTAACCAGTTTCCTTGAGAGGGGTTGGACACTATTCCACTCTGGAGTTGCCCCTGGTGAGAGGCGCTGAGCAGGAGTGGGCATACTTGTTGCCCCCCATCTTGGTGCCTTTACGTTGGGGTTCACCCCAGTGCACGAGAGGGTAGCCTCCCTCCACCTACGTGTGGGGAGACGAGTTCTGACTGTTGTTTGTGCGTATGCACCAAACGGCAGTTCAGATTATCCACCCTTTTTGAAGTCCTTGGAGGGAGTACTGGAGAGTGCGCCTCCTGGGGACTCCCTTGTTCTGCTGGGGGCCCTCAACGCTCACATGAGCAATGACAGTGAGACCTGGAGGTATGTGGTTGGGAGGAACAGCACCCCTGATCTGAACCCGAGTGGTGTTATGTTGTTAGACTTCTGTGCTCATCCTGGATTGTCCAGAATGAACACCATGTTTAAGCATAAGGGTGTCCATATGTGGTCTTGGCACCAGGACCTCTAGGCTGCAGTTTGATAATCGACTTTGTTGTTGTCTCATCTGATCTGCGGCCGCATGTCTTGGACACTCGGGTGAAGAGAGGGGCAGAGCTGTCCACTGATTACTACCAGGTAGTGAGTTGGCTCTGATGGTGGGTGAAGATGCTGGTCAGACCTGGCAGGCCCTAACGTATTGTGAGGGTCTGCTGGGAATGTCTGGCAAAGTCTCCCGTGAGACAGAACTTTAACTCCCACCCCCAGGAGAACTTTGAACACGTTCCGGAGGAGGTGGGGGACATTGAGTCAGAGTGGGTCATGTTCTGCATCTTTATTGTCGAGGCGGCTTGCCGGAACTGTGGGTGAAAGGTTGTTGGGTGAAAGGGCGTGGGAGGAGATCGGAGAGGCCAAGGAGAATGACTTGCGTATGGCTTCGAGATGATTCTGGTTGGTGGCAGGGCCCCAGGGGTGGATGAGATTTGTCCGGAGTTCCTTAAAGCTCTGGATGTTGTGGGGTTGTATTGGCTTACGCGGCTCTGCAATATTGCGTGGACATCAGGGGCAGTTCCCATGGATTGGCAGACCAGGGTGGTGGTCTCACTATTCAAAAAGGGGGACCATAGAGTGTGTTCCAACGACAGGGGATAACACTCTTAAGCCTCCCTGGTAAGGTTTGCTCAGGGGCTCTTGAGAGGAGGGTCCGTCAGATAGTTGAACCTCGGATTCAGGAGGAGCAGTGCGGTTTTCGTCCTGGTCGTGGAATACTGGACCAGCTCTATACCCTCAGCAGGGTCCTGGAGGGTGTGTGGGAATTTGCCCAACCAGTCTACATGTGCTTTGTGGACTTGGAGAAGGCCTTTGACCGCGTCCCTCGGGGAACCCTGTGGGGGGTATTCTGGGAGTATGGGATACAAGGCCCTTTGATATGGACTGCTAGGTCCCTGTATGACCGGTGTCAGAGCTTGGTCCACATTGCCAGCAGTAAGTCAGGCTCGTTCCCTGTGACAGCTGGACTCCGCCAAGGCTGCCCTTTGTCACAGATTCTGTTCACAATTTTTATGGACAGAATTTATAAGTGCAGCCAAGGTGTTGAGAGAATCTGTTTTGGTGGCCTTAGGATCACATCTCTGCTTTTTGAAGATGATGTGGTCCTATTGGCTTCATTAGATCGTGCTCTACAACTTTAGCTGGAGCAGTTCGCAACCGAGAGTGACATGGCCAGGATGAGGATCAGTTCCTCCAAATCTGAGGCCATGGTCTTGAGCCGGAAAAGGGTAGAGTGCCCTCTCCATGTCAGGGAGGAGGTCCTACCCCAAGTGGAGGAGTTCAAGTATCTTGGGATCTCGTTCACGAATGAGGGAAAAATAGAGTGAGAGGTCAATGGGCGGATAGGTGTGGCATCTGCAGTGAAGTGGGCACTGTATAGGTCTGTCGTGGTGGAGAGCTAAGTAAAAAAGCAAAGTTCTCAATTTACCGGTCGATCTTCGTTCCTACACTCATCTATGGTCATGAGCTTTGGGTTGTGACCGAAAGAACGAGATCTCGGATGCAAGCGGCCAAAATGAGTTTTCTCCGCAGAGTGTCTAGACTCTCCCTTAGAGATAGAGTGAGAAACTCAGTCATCCAGGAGAGACTCATAGTAGAGCTGCTGCTTCTCCAAGTCGAGAGGAGCCAGTTAAGGTGGCTCGGGCATCTGGTTAGGATGCCTCCTGGACGCCTCCCTGATGAGGTGTTCCAGACAGGTCCCACCGGGAGGAGACCCAGAGGAAGACACAGGACACGCTGGAGGGACTATGTTTCTTGGCTGGCCTGGGAACGTCTCGGGATTCCCCCAGAGGAGCTGGCCCAAGTGGCTGGGGAGAGGGAAGTCTGTGCCTCCCTAATTAAGCTGCTACCCCCGCGACCCGATCTTGGATAAGCAGAAGAAAATAGATGGATGGATGGATGGATCTGTCTGTAATGTATTTATTTATTCCTTGTATCATCAACCTGCTAGGGGCTTCAGGTGAAAAACTACCGCTAGCCAAAACCAAGCATATTGTATAAATAAACGTCAAATGAATATTGTTTTACCATCTTTGGGTGAAAGGCATAGAGTTCTTTCAGCCAATAGAGGGTGCTCTGGTCACGTGACCCTGTGATTCACTGCAGCAGCAGCAGCCTTAACCAAAATGGTCAAATGTCTGCACTTGGCGTTTTAACTAAATAGCTCCGAGTAAGGGCTGACTTTGTAAAAAAAAATGTCTAAAACAATAATAAAATGTCTGTAATATAATAATAATAATAATAATAATAATATATCGTAAATGGACTGTACTTATATAGCGCCTTTCTATTTAATCAAGATAATCCAAGCTCTTTACAACACAATCTGTGTCCTCATTTACCTCCACACACACATTCATACAGCACTCTACTATATCTATACAGAGCTAAATGAACAATTAATTCTAAAGAGACTAATCACAGTTCACAGTACACTAATCACAGTATCACAGTTGTTTACATTCCTCCGGACGCTAATGCTAATGAATCACTGCAGGAGCTTCATGATATCATCAGCTCGCTGCAGAACAAACACCCCGAGGCTCTTTACGTTGTAGCCGGAGACTTTAACCACGTGAATCTAAAGGACTGTCTCCCAAGCTTTTATCAGCATGTGACGATTCCGACACGTGGAGACCGCACGCTGGACCGTGTTTACACGAACGTAAAAGATGCATACAAAGCCGAACCCCGCCCCCACCTAGGACTGTCAGACCACATCTCAATCTTCCTGGCTCCTGCTTACATGCCCCCGCTGAGACGCTCCAGACTGGTACAAAAGAAAGTTAAATGTTGGATCCAGGACAGTGGCCCCATACTGAGAGATTGTTTTGATCGAACAGACTGGCAGGTTTTCAGAGAAGCTGCTGAAAATGGAGGTTCGCTTGATCTTGACCAATACACATCCTCAGTACTGGGTTACATTAGTACATGTACTGACACAGTCTCCACTATCAGATATGTTAAAAGCTACCCAAACAGAAAACCTTGGCTGAATGCAGAGGTGCGTACCCTGCTGGAAGCCAGGAACACTGCCTTCAGGTCTGGAAACTCAGAGGAGCTGAGTAGGACAAGAAAAGAGCTGGTTGCTGGTATTAAGAGGGCCAAGGCCACATATGCAAAGAGGATCGAGGGTCAATTCATCTCACAAGACCCTCGGAGCATGTGGAGGGGCATTAAGTGCATAACAGATTATAAAGGAAGGAGTGAACAATGTCCCAAAGACCCATCTCTGCCTGATGCCCTCAACAAGTTCTATGCACGCTTTGAAGACCCGAACAGACCACCCAGCACCAGACTCACCTCGCCACCGGATGAAGAGCATCTCAGCGTGACCTCAGCAGAAGTAAGGAGTACCTTCAGGAGGATTAATCCGCACAAAGCAACTGGCCCAGACAACATCCCCGGAAAAGTGTTGAAGGAATGTGCTGATCAGCTCTGTGAGGTGCTGGCAGACATCTTTAACACCTCACTTACCCTGGAGACAGTTCCCACCTGCCTGAAGACTGCCACCATCATCCCAGTCCCAAAAAGCTCTACAGTGACTGGTCTGAATGACTATCGGCCAGTGGCCCTCACCCCGATAGTCGCTAAATGCTTCGAAAAACTGATCATGACTCACATCAAAACAACCATCAACATCAACGAGGACCCTCATCAGTACGCATACCGTGAGAACCGATCAACAGAGGATGCAATCTCCTCTGTGGTCCACACTGCGCTCAACCACCTGGAGCAGAAAAACTCTTACGTCCGTATGCTCTTTGTGGACTTCACATCCGCCTTCAACACCATGATCCCCCAAACCCTGATGGACAAACTATCCACACTAGGACTAAGCCCCTCCATCTGCAACTGGGTACTAGACTTTTTAACAAACAGACCACAGTTAGTGAGGATCCACAACCTCTCCTCCTCCACCATAACCCTCAGCACTGGCTCTCCTCAGGGATGTGTGTTGAGCCCCCTCCTGTTTACTCTGCTCACATATGATTGTGCAGCTACCCATCCAGGCTGTCACATTGTAAAGTTTGCAGATGATACAGCGGTGGTGGGATGCATCACAAACAATGATGAGTCCAGCTACAGGCAGGAGGTGGAACACCTGGAGAGCTGGTGCAGAGAGAATAACCTTCACATCAATGTGAAGAAGACAAAGGAGATGATTGTGGACTTCAGAAGGAACAAAAACACCTACACCCCCCTGAACATAAGAGGATCTGCGGTGGAAGTGGTCTCCAGCTACAAGTACTTGGGTGTACACATGAATGACAACCTCAGCTGGAGCAACAACACCACCAGCCTGATCAAGAAAGCTCATCAGAGACTCTACTTCCTCAGACGGCTGAGGCGAGCTGGTCTGGGAAGCTCAGTTCTCACCTCCTTCTACAGGTGTGCAGTGGAGAGCATCCTGTGCTCGAGCATCAATGTGTGGCATGGAGGCTGCACAGCTGCAGAAAGAAAAGCTTTGCAGAGAGTGGTGAAGGCTGCACAGAAATCTGTTGGAGTCAGTCTCCCCACCATCACAGACATCTACACCTCCAGATGCAGGAAGAGGGCCACCTGCATCATGAAGGACCCCACCCACCCAGCACACACACTTTTTGCCCCACTCCCCTCAGGAAGGAGGTTAAGGAGCATTAAGTGTAGAACCACTAGACTGAGGAACAGCTTCTACCCTGAGGCTGTTAGACTCATGAATCTCTAACTAGAATTATCACTGTGAAAAACCATATCATGTTGCTGCTGATCTGTTTCATGTTGCTGCTGATCTGTTTCAATGTTGATGTGTTCATGCGTGCACATCTGCTCACAGACTCATGTTCATGTTTGTGCTGATGTTCAATGTTTTTATGTTATGGGTGCTTAGTGTATATTTAGTTGATGTTTTTCTTAGTTCATATCTTAGATGTTATTACTGTTTTTCTTATACATTTTATTGTTGGATGTAACTGGGACCCTGTGTACATAATTTCGCTCCACCACATGTACCACATGAGGTGCGAATGACAATAAAGAAACTCTGACTCTGACTCTGACTCTGACTAATCAGAGCTTTATCACATTCATACACCAATGGGACACACATTAGAGGCAAAGAGGCGTTCAGTGACTGCTGGTGGAATTGAACCCCTAACTCTCCCACTGGAGTACAATTGCTATAACCACTCAGCCCCAGCTGCCACAGCAATGGTTGCCCGGCCGCTCACCTGGACTTTTCTTTTGTGTTTCTCATGTTGGTTTTTGTGTCTAGTTCCCAGATGTACCCTATCGTTTTTTGTTTTTTCCCTTGGTGTTCTCCTTTGTGCCCTCCTTCCTCTTGGTTCCTCCCTCCTCTCACCCTAAATTGCGGGGGAGGTCTTGGGACATCTAGAAACATCCTTAGATGCTGGAGGTACTGTGAGGTTTGTCTTCCCTTGTGTTCATCCCCCCCACCCACATGGCCTGTTCTGCTCTCCTGTGTTGTCTTCATGTGATTAGTTTCTCCTCTGCCACCTGTTCGTCCCTCGAAGGTGTTTGTGTTTCAACAGGTCTCTTGTAAATGAGTCCTCGAGGCTCAGTGTGATTTATCTGTATAAATATAGGTTGAATGAATTGTCATTGTCCTCATTAGTGTGCATGTATATAAGTGTGCATGTTCTGTTACTTGTCAGCTGGTCATTGTCTGATGAAGTCCTGGTTTGTCTCCCTGCTCCTTTGTGTCTCGTAAGTTTTTGCTGCCACATCAGCTCTTTGTTTTGTTAAATAAACATTTTAGTTATTTTAATCCTCTGCAGTCTCTGAGTCCTGCCTGCAAGTGGGTTCAACCTGCTCCCAGATCCTAACATTGATCAACCTTAGCCAACACATCAATGACTATAACTTAATCCCTTCTACAGATACTGAGCTAAAATTTAGCATGGTGCTAGCTGAGAGCATTATCAAAACATTTGTTTGAGCACTAACACATCTCACAGACAGAACTGACTGAAAGTCTGAGTCTTGTCAAAAGATGACTTCAATTTAAAACTCTGGCGTGAACAGTGATGGATGATATGCATTTCTTCAATGGCTTTAATTGCATGATCTGCTCACATTGCTTTCATGGTTGACTAATGTGCTTTGCTCCCCTTTAAAATATATAATAAACAATGTTTTTTATTGTATGCCCATTCAGATACAGACATAAAAAGACCTGAACCCCTGTGGTTCCCTGTTAACACGACCATTGTGTGATGCAGTTTTCCTTCCTGTTTGCTGTTTATTCATGCCCGTGGAAAAATCTAGCTGCAAGACCCACCTCCTGAGGCCGGTCAGAACCAGCACTGGACTAAGAGCTGAACATTTACCCAGGGAATCCATTTACAGTTCCTAGAAACTGCAGCCACAACACTGTTTCCCACAGACACAGTTGTGTTGATCTCCAAACCCTCTAAGATGAACGTTTTCTTAGAGCTCACTGTTTCCTGAGAGGAGTCATTCAGGAGGCTAATGAGGGACTAACTTGAGGGTAAAGATGGTAAAATGCACAGAGTCTGTGCTGAAGCAAAAACTGGCAAGAAAAGTGTCTACTGGGCTGGAGCGTGAGTGCCTGTGGTGGGCCCACCATGTGCTCCGTGTCACAGGGGCCATGATGCAAAAAGCATCAAGTTGTCCATGGAAGCAGCATAAGTCTCAGCAAGCTGGCTGAGCAAAGAGGGTCTTGTCGAGTGTAGCTCCACCAAATCACCCGTCTTGATTTTTCAGTCATCTCAAAAGGTGTGTGTCTTGGTGTCTTACCTTCACTCTCTCTTTGCGCAGAAAGTAGGCTGTAGCATGCAGAACATCTGCAGCATGTGTGGAGTTGTGGTAGGAGTTGGAAGAGTGATAGTTGGCCTCAATGAGCTGCAGCCAGGAGCGCAGCGTGGCCTCCGAGCAGCTCAGAAAGTCACACACTCCAAAACGTGTGAAAATCTTCAGTCCAAGGTAAGTCAGCGGTCTGCAGGGGGGAACATGGTGCAAAGAACAGAAGCTAAACATCAACCTTCACAACATCCCCCAGATTCTGTTGAAGCTTTATAATCACATTTCTACCCACTCTTTATGCATTATTAACATTTGACCCAATCCAAACACCTTTATTCTGCCATCCTGACTTAGTTAAAGGGTTAATGTTTTATTTGTTTATTTTTATTGTGAATGGAACTACTAAAGAGCAGTTTGGTATAGGTACAAAATAGTTTTGGTACTCAGTTACTTAGATTACAAGCTTGTCTAAAAAACATAAAAACTTGTATGACTCTTAATTTTCTACTTTTAAACTCAGACAAGACAGAGGTTGTGGATTTTTAGACCTGAGTATTTTAGGAACAAACTTTGCAGCCTTCCACATTCTCTGGATGGCATTAAGCTGGTCTCCAGTTCTGATATAAAGAACCTCGGTGTTATTTTGATCAGAATATGTATTTTAAACCCCCACATTAAAAATGTTACCAGAACCTCTTTCTTCTACCTGAACAATATCACTAAGGTTAGAAACATCTTGTCCCAAAGTGATGCAGAAAAACTGGCCCATGCATTTATCACTTCTACACTGGACTGGATAAACTGGATAATTATTTATCATCTGCGTGTCCAAAAAAAAAAAAAAAAAAAAACTCTTTAAAAGTCTTCAGTTGATCCAAAGTTCTGCTGCTGGTGTTCTGATGAAAGTTAGAAGAGAGATAATTCTCCAGTTTTACCTTCTCTCCATTGACTCCCAGTTAGAATTTAAAATCTTACTTCTAACCTACAAAGCTCTCAACAACCTAGCTCCATCTTATATTACAGATCTTATTGTTCCACATTTTCTTAACAGAGCACTTTGCTCTCAGGCTGCAGGTTTACTTGTGGTTCCTAGAGTTTCCAAAATTAGAATGGGAGGAAGATCTTTCAGTTATCAGGCTCCTCTCTTGTGGAACCAACTTCCAGTTTCTGTCCATGAGGCTCCAGTTTTAAGACTGGGCTTAAGACTTTCATTTTTGATAAATCCTACAGTTAGGCTCGGCTTGGGTTTCCTGAGCTATCCCTTAGTTATCCTGCTATATGCTTAGACTGCTGGAGGACAAATTGACCACACTCTGCTGCTGCCTACCTTTAGCTGTGAACTGACTACAAACAAACTGAACTGAATAAAGCATTTTTACAACAGTTGTAAAACCAGAACAGCTCTGTGTTCATTTTATACTTCAGCTGATATAAAACCATGGACAGAAAGTCGACAGCAGAGATCAGTAGCTGAGTGTGGACAGTTGCTCTGATACTGATCTATGAAAATCGGATTGATCAACACCCTGACTCCATACCTGAAATCAGGTTGGGCCATGTCTGGTTTTATGGGTTTGAGGTCAAAGAAACTGAGTGATGATAGCTTGAACCTTGTAACCTCTTAGCTGAGCTAACTGTGTACATGAAATGGAAATAAAAAAAATGTGAGAATGTCACTGAATTTCATACACAAATTCCATAAGTAAACATCTAAAACTGCTCATTTAATGATGATGTTAAAAAAGGTCAAAACACAATGAGGTCCACAGCAAGTTTTCATATTAAAATGTTGAGCAACCTTTGAAGTCAAAGCAAAACTAAACCCATTAAAACCTTAACATCTTCGATGAAGCTGTGTTGATACCTTCTGTGTGTAGCAGCCTCCAGCTCCAGAATGTTGAAGTCCCAGCACTCCTCGTCATTCAGCATCTCAGCGATGAACGGAGGGACATCATTTAGAGTGGTTGGGATGGCCAACTGGTTCTGGCCGATGTCTGACAACAACAAAAAATAAATAAATCTGTAGGCATCTACACAGACAGTTACAGGTGATCTAACCAGAACAAGAGTAAGAACGCTCTGAATGGGACATCAAAAGATTTCACCTTACAGCTGTTTCTGATGCAGTGGACAATGCTGTCCTTCTGTCTCGTCTTAAACACTGTTGGTTTATCTGCTTCAGCTCTCAAGTGGTTCCCTTCCTACTGGACCATCAGGACTTTCTCTATTATGATCTGTCTTCCTTTACTGCATGTCTTTCTTGTGGTGTGCCACAGGGCTCTATTCTTGGTGCTCTCCTTTTTTCTCTTTATATATTGCCACTTGGATCAGTTATAGCCAGACATCACTTTTCTTTCCACTGTTATGTGCACAACTTACAAATTTATTTGCCTATGAAGCCAATAAGTAGTAACCTTCACGCTTCTTTTTTGATTGGATTGCAGACATTAAACAGTGGCTTCACAAATTGTTCTTTTTTTAAACGCAGGAAAGATAGAATGTATCTTTTTTTGGCGATGATGCTTCTTGTAATGTTGGTGTTCTAAAATCGAAGTTCAGATCCACAATTAAAAACTTGGGGGTGATTTTTGACAAGGACTTAAAATTTGATTAAAAGAAAGAAGGAAAGAAAAAACAGTCTCTGTAGTCAAGGCCAGCTTTTTTCAGTTACATCTTTTAGGCAAGATTAAGTGTTTCAGTGTATAATCTTGACCTGGAAAAAGGTCATTCATGTTTTTTTTCAGCTCAAGGCTTGACTGCTGTAATGCTCTGTATGTAGGAATCTCCCATTTCTCCACCAGACTCCTTCAGTTTGTCCAAAATGCTGCAGCACAACTTTTAACTAAACCCCTAAATGCGAGCACATCAACTGTTTTCTTTTCGTTCCATTTTAGAATTGATTTTAGGTTCTTATTGTCCACTTTTAAATCTCGCAATGGCCTCACCTCCACCTTATTTAGCTGAACTAGTAGCTTTTTGTGAGTATGAGAGGTCAACGAATACTATACTGTAGTCCCAAAGTCCAAATACAAATGCTGGGGTGGCTGGATGTTTTGGGTCGCCTCACCCAGACTGTGGAACCATCTCCGTCAGGACTTACACTCCATCACTGACTTGGGTCTTTTTAAAACCTTTTTTAATCAGGCAGCCTTTTAATATCTGGTGGCTCTCTGACATATTTGTTTTGTTCTAAAAACACAACTTCTGTCACTGTAAAGTCAGTGTGCAAACGTATAGTGGCCCCACTTGTCTCATGTGATAAATGTGCGTCTTAGAGATCATGATGTAATGTGGTGGGTGGACTGGGTTGTTTCAAGAACTGTGTGAGCGCTGATGGAGCTGCAGATAAAGACAATTGAAACCAAAGGACTCTTGATCCTTGTGTTAAGCACTCTTGTGACTTCCATCAGTGTGTGTCTGCAGAATCAGTTGAGCTCTAAGATTAAATCTTGCACAAACCCTGAAGCTTTCACCACCAGTTCCACTTCTAAAAGCCACGTGTTCAATCTTTGTGTTGGTTTCTGTGTGAAAAACTTACTGTCATCAGTACTGTATCACATTGTCAAAACTTAGTGGTAATATGTTCATTTGTCTCATCCCTAATGTAAAAACTCAAACTCAGCATTCAGTCTGAAACTTCTTACATACATGCAGCTATATTTTCTTAATTGTTGCATTTGTTTCCCTTTAACACAGAGATGCTGTGAAACTTACTTTTGCTGAAAACATATTCATTACCAGAGAGTCTCCGCAGCCCATCCTGGAGGGAAAAGCAAACAAAAATGTTTCAGGCTTGTGCTATTCTACATTTTTATTTTCAAACGTATCCCATGATACACCGAGCCAACACATTTGTTAAGGCTGACTGTTAGTTCCTAAAACAAGATGCAACAGTGAGCCAGCAATTTTTAAACATGTTTTTTTAAACAAAGTAAAAGACGTGGTACTGATACAAAATATAGCCTGGTACATATGTACAGACGTAGCAGTTACATACCTGTTGAATACCAAGAAATACCTGGTAAGTACTAGATACATGATACATTTTTTTAATCTCCTCTGAGTTTTTTATAACTTCAACCTAGTTGGTTTTAGACATATGGAGTGAACTTTGGGCGTGGAAGTAGCTGAAAGTGAGCCCCAACACATACTGAAAGCTATTTTTTAAAGATGGCCGCCAAAGCTAATACAAGTTGTCTACCACTATGTGGACAATTTCTTGTCCAAGCTCTAATTCTTCAAACGTGTAACATAGAAACATCAAACTTTAAAGGTGAACATGGACCAACAACGACCTCTACACATTTTTGAGGTCATGGGGTCAAAGGTGACGACTCCTTTCTTTTAATGGCTCTACAACATGATTTAATAAACTATTTCTTACCTGTTTGTTTAAAGTGCCTGATTTATTCACTGTATATATTTTAGGAGTTGATTTGAGATCTAAAAGAAACCGATGTGTGAACGCTGAGTCAGCATTTTTTTTGGGGGGGGGGGGTGTCTGCTGTGGTGTAGAGGCAGGGCAGCTGACCTGGGAAGAGAAAGTTGCGGGTTCAACTCCCCGCCATGCCCACATGTCATGGTGTCCTTGAGCAAGACACCTAATCCCTGATTGCTCCCCGGGTGCTTACATAGCTGCCCACCCTCCACCTGGGTGTAGCTCAGGTGTGATGAATGCAAAGAACTAATTTTGTCATTGTTTGGGAACATACAGTGATGACAACACATGGCACTTCTCTTCATTCACACAAAGACACCAAGTGCTTCTTACGCTCATGAGCCCCCCAACCAGATCGTTTGTGTGGGGGTCATCTTCTTTAGAGGCCAGCTGAGGAGAGTAGAGCTCGGTGGTCCTCAGGATCTCCAACACGCGATCCAGAGCCTCAGCGACTGTTACTGAGCTGCTCTCCTGGGCTGCGTTGATGATGTTTATGACCTGTTGATGAAGAGAGGTACAAACGTCTTAACTACACCTCTAAACACGCATTTGAAAGTACAAATGCACAAAGGGCCCTCTGTGTGGAATGCCTGAACAGAGTGGTTCTTTGTGGAGGGGTTCTGGAGATGTACACGGGACTTTATCCAAATCTCGTCTGGTGCAAAAAGAGCCAAAAAGATACTGATTAGCCCACCAGAACATCCAAGGACCCTGAAGCAGGAGGCAGGATGACACAATGCACCACACTGTGATCCAGCACCAAGTCCATTTGGGCTAAATATAAGACCAAATCTGCTTTCTTGGAATTTCAGTGACACCACAAATACGACTTCATTCTGAGACGTTCTTTAGACTGAAAAGTGTTGTTCAGGAATCCCCAACAACCCCTCCTCACAATGAGTTACAGACAACAACATTAATGGACAGAGTAAAGCAACAGGCTAAAATATTTCCATTGATCATGATCAATTCAATGACCATTGACAGATTCACACTGATGTCCTAAAGGACGGACAGACAGCACAATCCCTGTTCTCTGTACTAGTGTAGCAGCAGGCGATTTGATCCAAGAAACATGCAGTCACAGAGTTTGGATTACTTCGGGTTCAAACTGAGGATCTCATCAAAGACTGACAGGAAATAAAACAGATAAGTGCAACCAACTCCAAGCTACAGGCAGCTTTGTTACACTGACGAGAGACATGTGGTAAACTTCTGTCTTTACTGTCACAGCACACACGATTTAAATAGTTGGACGGTGCAGGACAAATGTCCTGAAACATTTTTCTGACAAGCCATAGAGCAGCCAGCAGACAGAAAGAAGGTGTCAGCACAGCCCGTTACTGTGTCCTGCTAAGAAACTAAACTGGCAGTAAATCTATTAACTTCAATACACCAGTGAAAAATGACATAAATGTCTTTGACCCATTTAAGCTTCGTCATCAAGTTTTTCTGGCTGTGAGCTCCTCAGGGCAGAGAAACAACTGCCCCAGCACTTCCCTGATCACAGTTACCCATTTAATGAACATTCTGCCTTTTAATAAAAAAAACCTCAAAAGGTCACTTTTACAAAAGTGTCATGATGTCATGTTAAGGAAATGCAGTTCAAGTATTAGTTAAATTTGGTGCAAAAGGAGATAAAACGATCGCAACATACCTTAGTGATGGGAGCCTCGATGGTCATTGAATGAATCCTGGCAACAGATGAATACCTTCGATTCTGTAAACTTGGAGCTGTAATTAAAAATATAATGATTATGATTAGAAACCTGTTCAAAGGTTTCAGTTTGTGACAACCATCCTTAATAATGAAAATGTAGGGTGGACATGGAAAAATGGGTTTAGCATTGTTTATAAAAATCCATCCATTATCTTTATTTCTTTATCTTTACCCGTTTCTTCCTTTTCGGGTCACGGGGGTCACTGTACATGTCCAGCAGTCACTGTGTGAGAGGCAGGACGCCCTGGACAGGCCTCCAGTCCCTCACATGGACACAAAGAGACAAACGAGACAAACAACCATTCACTCACACCTACGGACAATTCAGAGTTACCAATCAGTCTAACATGCATGTTTTTGATCTGTGGGAGGAAACTGGAGTACCTGGAGAAAACCCACACATGCACGGAGAGAACATGCAAACTCCGCCCAGGGAGGTCCGTGGCCAGGATTTGAACCGGGGCGACCTGCTCGCTGAGGCAGCTGTACCAACTGCACCACTGTGCTGCCCATGAAAATACATTTTTAGTCAAATCTAATGCAATGTGCACCCGTCCATGTGAAACTACAAGATATCACACACACAGAATGTGATGTAAACTACCCCAACTACTACCACACCAACGTTTAGCTCCATTTAGCTTGACTAAGTTAGAGCCAACGGACGGATGAATGGATGGATGATGAAGGAAGGAATGGATGGATGGAGAGATGGATGACTATATTTATGGATGGATAAACAGATGGATGGACAGATAGATGGATGGGTGGATGAATGAATGGATGAACAGAAAGATGGAATAAAAGATGTATGAAAAGTTGGATGACTAAATGGATGGATTAATGGATGATAGTCTTATGGAAATTAATCTATCATAATAGACCTTTAAAGAAAGAGATGAGGAAACAATCTTTGTCTTTAAGTTTATTTTCTCTTCGCAGATGAACTCAGTCAGAAAAGTCCTACAGACATGAAAAAAGTTGGTCCCTGAGTGAGTTGAGGAAGTCTCAGACTCCTCCGTCTTTCTAAACACTGATCACGTCATCTCGTCTCATGTGAACCTCATGGAAAAATACAGGAGAGCTCCGAGCTCTTTGAGCTGTCTGACCCAGAAGTTGCTGATGTCTGCTGAACTTACAACACAGACCTGAGCAGAAACTGTTCATCAGAAGCTCCATGTGCACAGAAAGACAAACGTTATTTTTTTCATTTACAATAGATAGATGGATGGATGGATGGATGGATGAACAGAAGGATGAACAGATGGATGGATGAATGGATGAACAGAAGAATGGATGGGTAGATGAATGGATGGACAGACAGACAGACAGTCAGACAGACGGGTTAGGGTCATCAGCTGCAGTGTAAGTGAGGAGGGGTTAGTGTTTCTCAGCAGTCCACCACATGTTCCTTTGGGAGATGCTCAGTTGAAGCAGGACTCAGACTGACTCACTCTCTGATGTTCTCCCTCTAACATCCTCTGAGCCTCTGTCCTCTCTGCTTCTGCCTGTGGTTTATCCCGTCTGCATTTATTTCTTTGAGCCTTCTAATTGTCCCTGCAATTGTTTTCTTCACTGTGAGACGGAGCAAAGCTTTTTCATTCCAACATGCTGACAAAAGAAGGATGCATTTCCCTTGACACGGCCAGATCAGAACTATCTGAATCTTTCCCTCTGTCCCTGTGATGGAATGAACGATGCTCTACACAAAAGTTACCATGGGCTCCTGGAGACAATTGGTTGACCTGGGTTTTAGTCGGGGTGTCTGAGAAAGAGACTGATTGTGTCACACACTTTAGATTTAATTTGTAAACACCACGGATCATTTCCCACCCACTTTAAGAATTCTGTCCTACTTTTGTGTCGATCTCTTACATAAAATCTCATTAAAATAACTTGAGGTTTGTGGTTGTAAGGCACTTTTTAAGACAGTGTAAAACAGGTGTTAAAACATCTGACTGTGTGAATACGTGTTGAGTGGTTAGTCACCTGACTGAGAGTGGTCTCCACTGCATTTGTCTTCCATGTTCAACTTGTGAATCTGACAGAAAAAGCAAGAAACAGTTAAATGTAAGACCTTTGCTGTGACTCATATTAGGGTACAGTAATGCTCTTTGATGACACATTCCATCAGCACTACTTCTCTTGAAGGACCTTCATGTTCTACTCCTTGTACAGCTGAAGTAAAAATCTGCTGTACTGCTAAAACATGTTTTAGGATCTAAACCACTAAAGGTTTTGGTAGCAAAACATCAGGCAGTAAATCAATTCATTTTTATTATTTGGCACCACTTCAAAATATAAGTCCTTTCATGGTGTTTTATACGTAAGGAAAACAGGTCCAGTTCCTATCCCATACCATGTGAACGAATGGATAGTTTTAATGTTTTAAATTGATTCATGTAGCACACGGCGTGACTCTCATCGTCTTTATCAGATTTTAAGATTTTCCCGGGAATTTAAATTTAATTTGGGACTGAAACTTTATTATTGTGGTGCAAGTAAAGTGGGTGAAACAAAGCGCAGCACTCTTTCAGCCAACATGGGTTTCATGTTGTCCATGACCAGAACCTGTTTCATCTGAAAAAAGACAGAGCAGCTGAAGACGTACGTGTAATGACTCTGGGGAAGGTAAACAGGCCTAATGTTGAAATCACTGTTTACAATTTCATCATCATCTGTTTAGTTAGCAGTTAGCACACATGTTGATTAGCCCAGAAAAAAATACTTTCTAAATGTTAAATCTTTATTACCTCTTGGGTTCAAGGTAAGTCATCATTCATATAATATTTGTTGACCACCTAGTCTGAGTGTTGGTGATGACATGACACTGCACATGCTGAATGGTCATGTGACAGAATTACAATGATTCAAATATCTGACGTTAGATGTCTGAGAACACTGCTGGTTTGTCAGCTGGATGTCTTCTGGCTGACTTGGTGGGATTTCTGACTGGACTCAGGTGGTCAGGGGCGTTTGAAGCTAAGCTGAGGCTTTTGGACCTTTGAGCCACAAAGCAAAGGTAACAACCGTAACAGTCAGCGTGGGAAAAGGTAAGCTTGCTTTACGGCTTAGTGATGGGACGTAGTGACAAGAGTCTGTGTGACCACCCAGCCACAGAGTGTAAACATCTAAACAACAACAAACAGACTTGTTACGGAGAAGATCGATGATGACACAACAACGCTTGACACGTGATATGAAAGTGACAGTTTGTATTGTACTTTGTGTTAGTCACACCTGGGTGGTTCAGTTATGGACGTGAAAGACTCTAATCTGTTACACAAGATTAATTTCACTCAGCGACTCACACTGCTGACAGATCACTGGGACTTTATGTAACGAGTACAAAATTCATTCAACCTTTATTTAGACAGAGCCTCGAGGACTCATTTACAAGAGAGACCTGATTTCAACAAAGAATCATGACAACAAAGACAACAATAGACAGTTATAAAAAGTCATACTCACGTTTTTTTTTTTCTTCAAAAAACAAATAGGATGGCTAAAAAAAGTAACAAAAAACAGCTAGATTCTAAGGCGAATGTAGAAAACTAAAAACAGGAACATGTCTGCGTTGGTCCCAGCCAGAAGTCCAATAGATTCTTAAAGCCACTTAAAGAGGTCAAGGTCGAGAGCTTCAAATCTTTTTGTAAGATATTCCAGGAAACAGGAGCAGAGTAGGAGAAGGCCCTTCTGTCTAGTTCAGTCCTCACTGAGGGAACACTGCAGGTAATAATGTCCTGAGAGCGCACGCTGTAGCTGCACTCACACAGAGACATGTAGGAGGAGATGTATGAAGGCAGCAGACCAAGAAGTGATTTAAAGATGAAAATGTACCAGTGAGAGAGTCTACGTGAAGTTAATGATGACCAGTTAACCAGTGAATACTGGGTGCAGTGGTGGGTACGATAATCACAGCCAACATCTGCAGGGTGCTTGTAGGAGCGTTCATGTCAATAATGTCACCGTAATCAATTGAGGGAAGGAAAGTCACAGATACAAGGCGTTTTCTAGCATTCAGAGTTAGACAGGATCTGTTTCTGAAAAAGAAACCCAGTTTAACTTTCATTTTCTTTACCAAGTTTTCCACATGGAGCTTAAAAGAGAGATGTGAGTCGACCAAGATACCCAAATATTTATAGGAATCAACAAACTCAATGGGGACACCATTTGAGGATAAAATCGGAGGAAAAACTGCTGGGACCAACTTCCTATTTGAAAAAAAGCATCCCTTTGGTTTTGTCGGCATTTAGGACAAGTTTGAGGAGGAACAAATCTGTCTGGATGTTGTTGAATGCAGAATTCAAAAGCTGGAAAACCTTAGCAAGAGTTTTAGCTCGACAATAAACAACTGTACAAACAAAATGTACATCCAACAAGCTTTATGTGTGAATCTAAGATTACTTTTAGCACCAAAGAGATGGAGTTAGACACATTTGGTCCAAGCTTGCAACTGAATCCTGGGGTCTCATGAAATTGAAAATAGTTCACCATCATCATCATCAGTCGCTTAGCCTAGTGCCATGAGGCTGTACAAACATAATTCATCAGCAACCTCCACCTTGAACAATCCTCAGTAAGATGGTTGAGGACACAAAAGGGAGCTCTGTCCAGGTATGGATGTCAAGAAGGATGTTTCCTTTTACAGGCTCCTTCAGCTTTTCCTTGAACAATCAATTTTGACAGAGTTTCCTTGGCCCTCACTACATGGGTAAACCTCCTTAGTTTCTTCTTCTTGATCTGCATTCAAAAGGAATCATGGTTTTTTATGAGGACATGGACTCTATGGTGGATCTCAGCATTTGTAGAGTGGGAGGATGAGTGGACCTGAAGCAGGTGACAGTAGTAGGTCATTTCAAATCAGCATATTTTTTTCTCTGTCTCAATGTTCAGAGTCCAGGTTTCTGCAGCATCGACAAGGACTGACACAACAATTGCATAAAACAAGTTTGAGTTTAGCTAGGGCCCTGGCAACTTTAGATATCCATGTCGATTTCTTTAACTGAGTTGCCCTCTGACATGAACCAAGACCAGAGGTAGGGAATTCTCTAACTAGAGTTCTGTCTCCGTGATGTTCACTATAGGAAGCTCCTGTTTAACAGATACCATGGTCTTGGCTTTCTCAAGACTAATCTCCATGCTATGACAACAAGTCACCAAGTCGAGGTTGTTTGCTTGAATGGCTTGATCATTGGTGGAGCCATTTATAAGGTCTATATCATCAGTCATGGAACATTTGCTGATTTCTCTTACCCTCAGTTTTACTGGGGTATTGGTTTCAATCAGTTTCTCAGATACATGCTCCAAGAATATGTTAAACAGAGTTGGCCAGAGAAACCATCCTTGGCGCACGCCAGCTATTGTTGGAAAACATTCACTGAGTTGTTACATAGAATTACCATACTCTTTGCTGCCTTGTACATTCGTCCATGGGCATAAGAAGCACCTGTAAATTGGGGGGGGGGGGGGGGGGGGGCCCTTAATGTGTTGTTTTGTTTTTGGCGTCCATCCCCATTTTCAAAAA